CACGACAAATGAAAACTCACAGGAATATGTTTCAGCTATTAGAACAGAATGATAGAGTTTTTATAATACTAGTTTAAAAACGCACTTCAGAGATTGCAGTGTTTGAAGATGAAGTTTCTCAGGAGGCAACAGTACTGTTGACTTCTCCCTCCACTGGACACCAACTATTTAAGTTGATTTGCATACAAATCAGAGCTTGCAACATGATAGCTATTCATAAAGGGTGTTTTTTTTTTACTTTTCATATAATACAGTAGTCACACAATGAGGCAGTTCATATTTGTCTCAGTGAATCATTCATTTTTGACAGACACCTGTACAAAATACTTGAACTAAAGCCAGCTAATTTTTTCTGTTATCTTGCATGTTTTATGAATCTATTCACATCTAAATGCAGCACTTTTTTTTGCAATGAGACATTTGTTTTTATTCTAAAATATATCAATTACTTTCAATAAAGCTGGAAATTATGTTCCTTAAAATAATTAAACAAATAAGGCACCAATGTTTTTGTAAGATATTTACATCTTTTAAGGACATTCAGTAGACTGATTCCCCACTGTTGGTTCAACCCCAAAACTTGTTTGTATTCAAAATTAATTATGACAATGCATATTTATATTGAAACAAACTATGATAAAGGGAATTATATTATATAACAAAGGGCAAGGTCACCAGAGTTCAACTATGTTTTAAATCTTAGGGCGTAATTTCGTAATCTTTATGCTAGTTGTGCTCAGTATGTTCCGAAACAGGATACGATGTCAGGCTCATAGATTGTTCCGTTAAAAAAAATACAGCTGCTGAGTGAGAAACGCATAACTTGCGCGTTAAACACGCATAACTCGCGCGTTAAACACACATAACTCGCGCGTTAAACACGCATAACTCGCGCGTTAAACACGCATATCTCGCGCGTTGAACGCGCATAACTCGCGCTTAAACACGCATAACTCGCGCGTTAAACACGCATAACTCGCGAATGTCATAACTACAGTTTACGGTTCATGGTTCAATTGACTGCATATGGTTTAACTTTAAATGAAATATTTATGTGTTGTTGTGATTTTTATGCAAGTTGGACTATATAGATTTTGATAGCATTTAAATTTGAAACAAAGTAAGATGGTTCGAACTTTGGTCTACTGTAGATCCAGGTGCCGAATCACCCTGAGGTAGTCCACAGTGTGCTAGTTTATCTGTCTAGAAAACTACTTTCGACTATAGCTGATGCTAATGCTTTCAATCACTAACATATCATTTTTGTCAATCAGTTCAGAAATTTCGTTGTTTTTCTTTGCAGCACTGGGAACGCAGGAGACGCTTAACTTTCTTGCCAGGAATGAACGCATGGCAAAGCCCCACGAATGTTCGAACGCCCTCTACGAGCTGATGCTGAAATGCTGGGAGCAGGAACCTTTCAACAGACCAACATTTGAATTTATGTTCAGTTATTTAGACGCATTTTCAATTTCTTCACAAGAACAGTATTCGGAAGATTATACATAAGCAGACCATGGTGTTTAACTATAACACTTGCACAGTGGGCGACTTCGTTCGTTACAATTACGTCACATCCGGAATTACCCAATATGCAGCGTGTGTGAATGTGGAGGAAAGTGACGTTACAATGTGAATGATTAGAGCACAGCGTGGAGTGCAGCTAATCGATGTATATACTATTTTATATCAAAACATTATTTTCGAATCATAGGTGTCGCCCATTTAAAATCATGGGCGGGGTGGCTGTAAATTTTGTTAAACCAATAAATTGCAAGCTGGACACTGAGAGAAAACAAAATTCAAGAAAGGTGTTTCAGGAACAAAATTATGGTACATTCTAAAACATATAAAAATGGGAAAATTATAAACTGCGAAAAAAATCCTTGGTCACACTTTTGAAGCCACCCTGACGATTTCAAATTGTTGGCCCCTTACACACGACAAAATGTTGATAATTACAAATGTATATCCTCGTCTACTTATTTATCGGAATTATCAAGCGATCGTTTTTGTAACCCAGGCAACATGAATATTCAGTAACAGACGTGTTGTAAGTTTAAGTTTAATAAGATCAAATAATGCAGAGCACGTATCACTTACACGTCAACATACGGGTATTATGTGCAATGACCGAAAACATAGTATCCGTATTGTTATCGTCGTATGGGTCACGGTGGGTTCTGAACTCACGTATAGAATTCTAACACAGTTTCTGATCTGAGTAATATTTTCGGTTTTTTATTATTATTGTATATATTTGTTTTCACAACTCAAAACATTTATATCATCGTCTCGTGCTGCTTTGTGTTTGTTGTCACATATTAAGGCTAATACTGTAAAATACATTATTTTCGCTTGGAATTAATTTTCGCTGAAGGAAAAAATCAGTGAAAATAAATACATACAAAACAGGAAAAATTCTTTTCAACGAAAATTAATTTCAGCTAAAAAAAGTATTTTACAGTAGGATCTTGTTTAATGCGATGTTCTGTGTCGTCATTGTAAGCAACTTGGTTTTGCCTGATTATCTCTGTCTATCCATGTAGTGCTAGCCAGTAGGTGACACATTATTGTTTCAGCCTGAGAATCAAGTCGACTCTTATCCAAATCGTAGCCATTACTGGACGCACTCTGGCTATCTACTGGTGAATCAATGGCTATCTAATCAATGGCTATCTAATCAATGGCGTCCTCTGTTGTTCTACCTTTGTATATGCTATATGGTCACAATATGAAGAAATCTAATGTTATTTTTATAGAACTATTTGTATAAACATCACTTGTATATTTGTTAACATTATGCAGTATACTCTGGTTATCATGACGGCCTGTTTTTGAGACGACTCGTGTCACAAAATAATTTACATTGTACTTTCATGGCTGCCGGTCGGCATTTGGATGTCATTGTCGTTCACAAATTGCGTACGCTATTTGAAAAATCATAAGAAAGCATTCGAGACTTGGATATAGAAGTGTCTCTTTTTTTCCATAACTGACAGTTTAACTGAAACTGTATGACATATCATATATGTCTGAATCGGCGTCGCTTCCATCTTCTTTTTAACTTACTCAATTCTTAAAGCACGTGAACTTAGGTGCACCCTCTATGTTTATATCCTCGTTCGCAGAAAGAAATTGTAATTCTGTTCTCCTTCATATTGTATGTATCAACTTTAAGCTGCGCTTTGTAAGTTATTTTTTTAAATGTAACAATCATGTTTATCAAAGTTAATTTTTAAAATATCACTTTTTTCATAATATGACAATAAAATTTCAGAGAGCAATATATGGTGTTGTATATTATTTTTCACTGGATATTTTCCACAACAATAAATCTTCAATAAGAATTTTCCATACATGATATGAATATGAATTTCAGTTTATACTTTACTAGCTGTCTTTTGCTCACACTTGTGGCCTCGTACCGTCCACTGGTGCGTAATTGGATTAGCATCCAGGACACGCACAACGGTAGACAAGAACAGATTGCCACAGCACAAACTTTCGACCAGAGCCCGATTTTGATATGAATTTTCTTCTTAAGGTTTACACGGTGCAGTCTTGTCCTCGCATTCAGATTGGGTCTCTCCCAATACACTGAGTATAGTGAATTAACATGGATATAATGCTATAGAAATGGTTATTAAAATCGATACAGCCTACAATTTTTGCCACCTTGACCTACACGTTAAAGCAAACTTAAATGCGGACTTAATTTATAGTTGTGTATATTCTAAACTGTATTCGAAATAACATTGTAGTGATTTAATTTTGTTTTAATTACAACTGTGCACACCATGTTTTCTGTGGATGTCACATCTGGAGCCAAATTAGGGGTCAACCAAAATATTGACGTTGGGGGCGCGTTTGGCTGAAACATTGATAAAATAGCTAAATCTATTTTTACTGGGCCCTGTCATCTGAATTTACTTTGTGTTTGTCTGAGTCATAATCCCGTTGACAATCTCAGACAGAGAGAAACGGTGTATTGACAAATACGTTATTCTTGTTTGTCAGACAATCTCCAATAGCATATCGATGAGTGCCGAGACAACCGGGTCTGTGAAGTGGAATTTAAAATCTGAAAGAAAATTAAGAATGCAAATGAAATTTATTTACAAAGAAAAGTAAGCATACACAAAGTGAAGTTTATGAAAATACGAAGTCGTGGCCCTACTCGATTGCCTTAGTCAAAAAATGATCGATTGTCATTTAAATTTTGTATTTAAATAAACTCTACGTCTTCTTGAAAATTAGTGTAGCTAACTACGTATTTTGTAAGTCATAGCAAACTGTCTAAAAGGCTAAACTCTCACAACAGGAATACATTTCAGAGGTGGCCGTCGAGATCTCGCTGTAAGCGAGATAACCACGAGACTCGTATTTACCGCTGAAATATTGTTCCATCCTCTTCTGTTATTCTTCCGCTCTTACCCTTACCCTTACCTGCCTGTTCAGTGATGAAAACGAGTCTGTGATTTGTCTTAACTGTTATACTTGCGGCCATTTTGAATTTGGAAAAAGTGAAAAACTAGGCTCATAACGTAATCAATATTTAGGGGACCCAAATCTGTTTTCAGGTTTTTTGAATTGTCAATCTTAGAAAATATCCAAGTAAATTCAGAAAATTGTTTTCCAAAGAAATATATTTCATCCAAATGCAAGAAATATTCGAAGGACGTTTCCATGGCAAATAATACACGACGAATATAGACCCTAATGTTGATTCTAGCTACCCGCGCAATTATGTCGGAAGTTTAAACCAAGCGATCACATTATATATAATAGTTAATAAATACCAATCAATTATACCATTGTCGGATTACTTTATATCGCGAATTTAAAGTCCGATTAATGAAATCAATGAAATGAAATGCACAAATCAATTAGGCAAATGGACCACAACAAATAACGTAAACGTAATTATTATGACACATTTACACAGGATAATACATAGTCGAGTCTAATCGAATTGTTACACTTTTTATAATGATTCAGTCCAGCACATACTTCATTATATTTGGCATACTGAATAAAAAGGAAACCACTACGATATGCGGAAGTCACGAGTCGCCGTCTTAGCTCCATTGTAGTCACATATTGGAGAACTGCCCCATTCATGTAAGTAAGTAAATTTCTTTTATATTACAACCTATAAACAGTAAATTTGTTTTCTGATTTGATAAAATAACTTACATATTAATTCACCTTGGCACAGGTATCCCTTGCAGCCGATGAATACGTGGTGCAATTTGTAATGTTTTTTAAAAACGTGTTCTGGGTTCATATGAATTCAATTGTTCAAGCTTTCGGAGCAGCGTTTGTTGATCTATTTTTCTGTGTATTTTAGCCGTTTATTGGATATCTAATATAATAATGCTCGTGAGTCAGTGTACTGGTTCGGTACGTGTAGAACATAATTTTATATCGATAAAAATAGATGGAAACCTAAACCACTAAAATAAATTCGTGGCCCTATACGAAGATACCAACGTGTGTGAATGTGGACGATGCAACGCTAACCGCTACGCCGCTAACAGAATTTTATATTCCAGTGTATATTTCAATAATTTCTTTTTGATTTTAGGCCATTGTATATGATGACATGATCAAATGCTTTGAATATATAGATCATATATTAAACGTTTATTTTGCCGTTCATTTCAGTCTGCAAGAGATAGAAGTTTCCTTAATAAATTTTCAAGACAGAGACACATTCACAATTTGTATATACGAGTTAATGAGATTGCAACATTGACCATGTTGGCAGAAAGTGTTATAAGAAAGCAATAAATGCATGTAGATAGATGAATTGCCCTGCAATTAATAGGCGAATAGTTGATAATTGTTACTATTTATTTATTCTCATAGAATAAAACTACTTTGAGCCATTATATACATTGTAACTAACCTGGTTACGAGAAAATACATCAAGGTATAATTCCCGTTTCGACACATAAAGCACGATCGCATTTATTTCTGTAATTGTTATGATCACGTTTTTGAACTTAAATACAACCGTGAATACATTCAATTGGATGCATAAATAAAAAGATAATGATGTTAGTATTATAGAGTCTACTATTTGAAATCAGGGGAGGTGTGACTGGTGCAATTTGTTTTCTCTTTATCTTATTCGTACAATTTGTATTTTCTGAATGTGCCAACACGTTTTCATTGCACATTACATGCATTTTTCTCTCGGTGTATATCTTGCAATTAAAAAAAAAGAAGCTTCCAGTGCCTCGAATTGTCGTTCTCTAATTGCACTCTATGTTGTTTTTCTATTTCGTCGCGTATTGTTTTCACATAGAGGAGTTCGTTCAGAAGGACAGCGTTTGGAACGACGTGCTCACATGACAAATTTCCGAACGTGTCCATGATCTCGATAGAAGTTTCGAAACCTAAATATATTTTCAAAGAGATGCTGGCCTTTATCGTGTATCATTTTAACAAATATGCTGTATATAGTATGTAGTATAAATAGACTCATATATATTAGTGAGTATGCACTGATGGTGTGTTATCTTTATACATTGTGCTGATGATATACCATACACATTGACTTCCACTAAAAATATATTTTAGCAAACTATTAACATGATTGGAGATGAATACCGAATCTTAATTTGATAATTATACATTATAATATTTGGGTAATTTCTATCTACCAAATTAACCTTATTAGGCGAACTCCAAGAAAATTTTTACAAGTATTAAACTTGTGCACATTCTATTTGCACCATTAATTAGTAAATAATGGCTATGATAGTAATACCTTGATGATAAGTCATAATAGTAATAATACCACAGCTTAATATGTCAACAACTTTTAGAATATAATCAGCAAACCTTTTCTCACCAAGGCGGTTTATTGTGAAATGATCTGGATGTAAACGTCAGATACGCAAATAAATATCGGCATATTCTATTCACTGATCTATGAAGTATTAATTATATTTTATATCAATGTAAGCTTCAAATTTAACTT